AGTTGTCGAGAAATGTTGCCATTTTGACCATAGTTCTTGGTCAGGAACTGGAAAAAAGTATTTGATATTAAAATATTAAATAAAATAATTAATAATAGCCCATCTTCGTTTCCATAATCACCGAAAGTGGGCTTACTTTGTACAATAACATTATTAAAATCTATGTAAAAGTATTGTGATCCTAGTTTGTTTTTTTTTAATTTTTTCTTACAAAATGTTCTTTGAAAAATATAATGAAGCTATTTCTGAACTTATGTTTCTGGTTGGAACCCGGAAGGAAATTTATATACAACAGAAATTTAATAAAAATAATAATAATAATAATAATAATAATAATAATAATACACCGACTGAAGCTGATGGCAAAGACAAATAAACCGCAGAAGCGATGGCAAGATAAATATGGCCAATCTGCCCGTACCAAACAAGCTGACGTAGACAAAACCCGTACCCATCAGTGGCTACGTAGTGCAGGGTTGAAAGCTGAAACTGAAGGTTTTATCCTTGCTGCACAGGACCAATGCTTGCTAACTAGGAATTATCAAGCACATATACTAAAATATTGTGTCAGCCCAAAATGCAGATTCTGTGATAAATATCCAGAAACGATTGATCATCTTGTATCAGGTTGCACGATATTGGCACCCACTGAATATAAAACCCGGCATGACAGAGTGGGCCAATATCTGCACTGGAAAATCTGCAACTTCTACGGGAAGGAAACTGAAAGAAACTGGTATGAACACCACCCAGACCCGGTTACGGAGATAGGACCTGTTACAATTCTATGGGACTACACAATACACACTGACAGAACAATCAAAGCCAACCGCCCAGATATTGTTATTAAAAGACCACAAACAAAAAAACGGTGCCTCCTTATTGATATGGCAGTCCCTGCTGACTGCAATGTATCTTTGAAGATATTCAAAAAGCTGTCAAAATACAAGGACCTTGAAATAGAAATCTCAAAAAATGTGGCATATGGGAACATCAACAATCCCTGTTGTAGTTGGAGCCCTAGGACTGGTTGGAAAAGATTGCAGTAGACTAATTGAAGGGATTCCTGGAAGTCCATGCCTCAAAGAGATACAAAAAATTGTTCTGACAAGTACAGCCCACACTTTACGAAGGGCTTTATCTATGTAATTTTTTTTTTTTTTTTGTCAGTGGAAAGTGTCATGATGCCATTTCTAACCTTAGGTCCCTGGGCGGGACCCGGAAAGAAATGTGTAAACGCCAGAAATCAAAGAAAATAAAAATAATAATAATAATAATAATAAAATAAAATAATTAATAAGAAAATTAATCTAACATTTTGAGGGATGAAAAATTTATGATAAAAAACAAAATTACTGTTATTGTAAGATCTTGATAGTCATGCAAAAAAAATGAAAAAAAAAAAAAAATTAGCAAAATTGAGCAAATCAGCTTTGCATTCGCCAAAATCCAAAAATTTTTTGAAATTTTAATATGAGGTGTTTATAAATTTTTCTTTGCATTTTCCATTAAATTTTCAGTATTTTAAATTATAAATTTAGAATTAACTCTGCGTTTTCGTCCGATTATTTTAGTAACATAAAAAAATACACTGAATTTCAGCTATGAAACAGACCTGTTCGCATAGCTATGTTTTTTCGGATTGTTCTCATAAATCAAAGAAAATTCAAGGGATTTCTTAAATCCTTCGAAAATCATTTAAATAAAATTTTTGAAAAATTAAAATCTTTTTTTTTTTTTTTCACATTTTATTTCAAAAAAAAAAAACAAAAGATAACTTTGACTTCCACTTTTTTTAATTTTAAAAAGATAAAAATTAAAAACATTAGAAAAAAATTTAAAAAAAAAAATTTTGCCTTAACTTTCAAATTTTTTTCTTTAGAATTGAAAAATTTCTATGATAAATTAAAAAAGAAAAAATCCCAAATTCCATTAAGGACTAAAGAAAAAAATCAACTTCATCCGAAAAAAAAAATTTAAATAAATGATAAATTCAAATAAAATGAAATATTATAAATTCTAAATTTATTTTAAAAAAGTATTTTGAAAATGCGAAATTCAATGCCTGAACCATCTTTTTCTCTTGCTTCATGATAATTAAAATTCATCTGTTCGTTTTGTGTGACTGACTCGTTGGCCTTTTATTTTCGAAAAAAAATGTGAAAAAAAATGGAACTTTTATATTTATGAAAATTTTACGCAAAAAAACCAAAAAGACCGTATTGCATTTTTTTTGCAAACAAAAATTTAGGTAACTTCCAATAATATGAAATCGTATATGATTGGATCTATCGGCTTTGACTGTTGGCAAAAAAAAAAAAATTTATAGATTTATATTTAAATTATAAAATCTAGATACGTTAGAGAAAATTTATATCAGAACAATTACCATAAATTTATCTATAGTAAATGCACAGGAAGCTAAATTACGGTGTTGACAAAAATGACTGAAGCCGAGACACCAGGTCAGAACCAATAATGATGAGAATGTGTCGCCAATTTAGAACTGCGATTAAATTCTTAAACTTCTGAAAAATTCTTAAACTAAACTGTAAAACTCCTGAGAACAATTACTCAGAAAATATTTATAGAAAAGTTTAAAGGGTTAAAGAAATTTATGTTAATAAGCAAGTGGCAATGTGACTGAAAAAAATTTCAGAACAGGATTAATAAATTGCAGATTCTTTTTTTTATTTCATCAAGAATTTAAAATAACTACACAATAGCATATTATTTATGATTCAGAAAGAAATACTAACAATCGAAAGATGGACAAAATAGTTGATTTTTAATTTAAAAATAAAAAAATTGCAAAATATTGAAATTTTTGGCAGAAAGATTTTTGCATATATCTTATTCGGATTAAAATGGTTTCATCGAAATAAATTAAGCCAACAGATGTTTTATTTTTAGCAATGTCGAATGGTAGCCATTAGAAAGAAATACATAAACTGGATTCTTGCAGGATACATTCAATAATAGCATGACACGGAATTTTTAAACAAAAAAAGGATCCAAACTTTATTTTATTAGAAATCAATAAAATATTTCAAAAAGTTCTAACATTGTTTGGAAAACGTTAAAACATAGAAATGAGCAAATAAAATTTATCGGAGGTTAGCATCAGTCATATTGACGAAAAAACAAACCGTCTAAAAAAAAATTTTGTTTTTTTAAAAAAAAATAAAAAGAAATTAAAATAAAAAAAAATCTATTGATAAATAAATGAAAATTTTTACGAATTTAGATAAGATAAGACGTTTAGAAACCATTTTTTATTTCTAATAAAATTTTTTTTGATTTAGATTTATTTTTCTAAATTAAAATCGTTTTGTGTATAAAAAAATGCAAAATTTGGAATTTAAGAAAACAAATATAAAACATGAAATATTATTGACAAGTTTCATGTAATGGTACCAACGTTTATATAAATTTATTCATTTAATCTTCAAGTCTATTGAAGAACAATCAAGAGAAATATTGAATAAATTTAAAATGAGGAACAAAGAGAGGAAAAAATCGATAAAAAAATCTAAAAACAATCAATTATATAAATGCCAAGCTAATAAGAAATTAGAAAAATCCAATCAACCCGTAATGTTTTTTTTGGCACGTAAGACAGGAGGTTCAGTTTATTTTTCCAAAGATAAATTGAAAAATTTTAATAAAAATTAAAAAACTTGTAGGGTCATTTTTGTATTCAGGACAGAAAGTTAGAAGGTTAGACAGGGCGAAGGCAAAAATATATGAATATGTTTCAAATGGAATAATAATTATTAATAAAATATATATATATATATATATATATATATATATATATATATATATATATATATATAATTCAGAAAAAATGACTTTAATAATTTCGAAAGATTTAATGGTTTATTTTTAATTGAACAATTAGTTTTTTTTGTTTTATTACGATTTGGGCAATTAAAGTTGAAGACCAAATTTGTTGTTATTATAATTTAATTATTATTAAGAGAAATTTTTTATTTTAAGCAGATGTTTTTCTAGATTTTGAAGAATGTATTTGTTTCAAACAGACATTCGCCATGTTTACAAATTTTTCAAAAAAATTTTAAATTAATTTAGTTAATATTTTCGTTTTGAACAATCGTTTTTCGATTTTTTTTAACTATAATTTCCTAATCTAAATTAAAATATTTTTTTTTAAACCAGACTTGCGCAGATATGAATTTGCTTCAGAATTCAAAACGATACATTTTTTGAACCATTAGTAATATCCGTTTGGGTGAATCAATTGTAATAACTACCTAACTATTCCATGAGTATCTGATAAGAAAAGAAAAATTAATGAATTGACACGAAATGTAACAGACAAGGAAAAAATCGCACAGCCAACCCCAAAATACGAGTTTCATGGAAAAGAAGTGATGGAAATCATCAAAGTATTCTTTTTTGATGAAATAAAATGATAAATGAACAAATTAAAACAAAAACAGGTGCAAAGTAGGCATAAACGATAATAGTTTCGTAAAATAAATTTTATTTGATGCTTTAGTACACATCATTAGATGATTTTCTATTGAGGTTCATTAGGGTTCAAGGAATTTTCAAACATAAAAAAATTTCCACGGTGAACGACGAAGGACTTCTAGTTTGATAAAGTACCTTCGAAGAAAACTTTCCACATCTTTTTAAATTACCTACAAACTTCGAATTTCGAAACACAAACCATACGATAAAAATTGGCAGAAATTGTCCATTTATTTAAGAAATTCCGGTTCAATAGCAGAATTCATTTGTTGTTTAAAAAGGCAAAAGTTAAATCGCAAAAAAATAAAAATCATTTCAAGAAACGGGTAAGATCAAAAAAGAAACGTAAGCGCAGAAGGTAATGGAAACTCATCCATTTAAAGGCCCAATGATATTTGTTTTGTTCAGAGAGAGATAGATAGAGGGGAAAAGCGATTATAGGAAGAGAGAGGAGAAGAGAGAGTTAGAAGAGAGAGAGAGAAGAATTTTAAAAGAGATTTTTAAGAGAGAAGGAAAGAGAGAAAGAAAAAGAGATTAAAAGAGAGAAAGGAGGAAGAAGAAATAAGAGAAAGAGAGGATAGAAGGAAGAGAAGAGAATAATGAAGGAAGAGAGATGAGAAAATGAGAAAAAGAGGAGGAAAGTAAGATATGAGAGGAGGGAAGAAAAGGAGGAGGAAAAAAATGAGGAAGGAAGAGAAGAAGGAGGAGGAAAGAGAGAAAGGAGGAAAGAGAAGAGGAGAGGAGAGAGAAGAAAAATAAAAAAAGAGGAAGGGAGAGAGAGAAGGACAGTGAGAGAGGGAAAAAGAGAGAGAAAAAGGAGGAGGAGATGAGGAAAGGGAGAAGAGATAAAGAATCATAATGAGATTAAGAGAGAGAAGGGAAAAGAGAAAGAAGAGAGAAGGAAGATAGGAGAGAGAGAAGGAAAGGGAGGAAAGAGAGAGAAGAGAGAGAGGAGATAGAAAGAGAGGAGAGAGAGAGAGGAGGAGAGAAAGGGAGAGAGAGAGAAAGAGAGAGGAGGAAGAGTTTACAGAGAGAGAGGGAGAGAGAAGAGGAGTAGAGAGAGAGAAAAGGATATGAGACAGAGAGAGACAGAGAGAGAGAGAGAGAGAGCGAGAGAGAGTAAGCGGAGGTATCCTTTCAATTAATATGTAGCAAACCGAAATCAATTTCCACGCTGATAACCGTTACACTATCCGTAACTAACAATTTAGTTTTGCCTTCTATCAGCAAATCAGATGCTAACCTGCGGGAGAGTGACACCTTGCGACTTCTCAGGTTAACGTATTCTACTGACCTGAAGTAAAAAGATTAGATTGAATCAATTGCCAGATCTGCTGCCTAGGAAAGTGGTTCACTGTGTCGTGCAAGATAATTTTATTACTTTAAAAGGTCGACAATTCGTCCATGCATTGGATATTGCGGCCACGTCTAGTCTGAGCTGGTATTCCTGCTATGTAGTTAGAAATTCTTGATGAAATACAAAGAAAAATCTGCAAATTTATTAATTCTGTTCTGATATTCACATTGCCACTGCTGCAACATAGCTTTCTTGTATCCACTCGTGCACTTCCCGCTTTCTTCCACGCCAACTTTGATCATCAAAAATTTAAATGCCATAACACACGTTAATTCATATTCTTTTGTTGCTCTATCTCCTTAAAAAGGGTTTCTTTTTCTCATAATCTCTCAAACACGGTATGCCCTTGGGATTTTGGGATTCTCTTACCTTCTTTAGGGTGAAATGAATAAGGCATGGTCACCATTTTCAGCGTTTAATAAGTAGGCACGATTATAAAAAATATTTGAGTTTTTATACTGACTCCACCTTATACGCATATACAATTACAGCAACAAATTCATTACTTCAGTCCGATGAAATTAAAACGCGTCATATATATATATATATATATATATATATATATATATATATTTAGTGTCATTCACAGAAAAATTGTTTCGCTGTATCACAGCTCAACAGTGATGATTGCCTCAAGCCAGGTTCGAAACCTGACTGATTTGTCATCAGTCGGAGATAATCCCTATGCTATCGGCAGAGATGAAGATTTTTTTTTTTACGAATTTATTTTGAATAAACACACCAGTGACCCAGAGTGCTCGATTCATAGAAAATCTTTGCAATATATATATATATATATATATATATATATATATATATATATATATATATATATATATATATATCTTTTGAATTTATTGATTTCGTGGGCCATAAGAAGAATAACATCAAAAGAGATAAAGGATATTTATTGACTGCTGAGAAAACAAATTTAGAATTTGCGAACAAGTTGGACAGGAATCAAAGAAATATTCTCGGAAAAGTTATCTGAAAAATTATCTGAAAATTAGAAAGATTATCTAAAAAATTACAAGAAAGATTACCCGAAAATTTGGAAAATTATCTGAAAGGTCGTTATTGTTTGGTGTTGAATGAGCTTAAGAATGGCAATACGTTCATAAGTTTATGTAGAAAGATAAAGATTACCTCTGGGATTGAAGAAATCAAGATTGTACTGAACAAAAAATCTTCCTACCAGGAGTCACTTCCACAAGGAAAGGTTTCTTGGGCAGAAACAATCCGAGTGAATGTTAGTTAGTGTTAATGAAATACGAAAGGTGTAAGAAAGATTCATATCTGTGTACGCGACATAGTGGGTCACAGCTGCAAAGGTCAAGGTTGATTGAACTAAGGAATGTAGCTCATCAAAATATTTGCCTCGAAATCGCGAAGGATTAGAGAGAGGCTTGTTATGTTTCATCTGTGGGAAAAGGATTGTAGGATGGAAAATATTTAATCATTCACAAGTCCTCGTTGGCGCTTTTAATGTCTATCAAGACAGGTAAGTGAGTATGGTGAAATACGGTAGCAATACTCCATTTTTGATCTCATTTGTCTCTGTATTTACATTCGGACTATTGTCCTCATCTTTGTCGCCATATTTGTCACAACGTTTCGGCCGTTGTACGCTCCGGCCTCCTTCAGGCGGTTGGAATTTCGAACTGAACCCTTTAATTCGATCACTGGGGTAGACTGTTCTAGTTCCACGTGCCATGTTTGATGGATGTCAGTTATCAGTTATCTCCTGCTAATTTTCCCTCTGAAAGTTCTCCACTGCCTTAACCAGGTATTGAACTCACACTCTTTGGGTCCTGTCACTGGATCTAACCAACGCCTTTATCCACTGTGCCATGTGTCCTTGAGGAATATGAATTTCTGGGTATTATAAACCTAATGTTTTCAGCCACCATTTTTTACTAGTGCTCATATTGCAATTTTTCAGTTATCATTGCATTTTTTTACCAGAGACAGACTCATTCGGATCTTATAAAAATATAGCATAGTAGGGAGAATCAGATATATAAGGAACCATACAAAGAATGTGTACAAGGAATATATATATGTATATATATATACAAGGAACCATCAATGTTCCGAATGAAAACAGATAGAAAATCTGATGAATAATTAAATAAATATCAAAAACGTTTCGGCAGATGTACGCTCCAGACTTCTTCAGGGGGAATGAGATATATACTGGAGTGGTACGAGGAACCATATATGTTCCGAATTAAACCGGTAGAAAATCTGATGAATAATTAAGCAAATATCAAAATCAGAAACTTGTACGCCGAGCAAAGCAGTCCATAGAGACGGTGATCTTTACAGAAATCAGTACTGATGAATGTAGAGCTACATTGGATTAAACTAATGTCCGGGTTAGAAAATGTAAAACAGGAGATGAATATTACGCTATTTAAATTGTTCGGGCTATCATCCTCATCATTGTTGCCATATTTATCAAAACGTTTCGGCAGTTGTACGCTCCAGCCTTCTTCAGTTGTTTGGAATGTCGAACTGAACCATTTTTTTCGCTCGCAGGGGTAGACTGTTCTCGTTCCACGTGCCGTATCTAATGGATGTCAGTTATCAGTTCTCTCCTGTTAATTCCCCTCTCCAAGTTCTCCACCGCCTTAGCCAGGTATTGAACTCACACTCTTTGGGTCATGTCACTGGATCGAACTGGATCTATGTCTTTATAATACCCACAAGTTCATATACAGATGTCCTCAAGGACGCATGGCAGAGTGGATAAAGGTGCTAGTTAAATCCAGTGACAGGACACAAACAGTGTGAATCTTTTTAGATCTTCCGGTATATCACCACTGTTCTAGATTTCATTTATTATTTCTCTAATGTTGCCTATGCCCAAATCATCTAAGGCTGCCAGCGTCTCTATTTACATTCCGATAAGATCTATTTTGATAGCACTGCCAAGAAACCAGTGAAATGAATTTGAACTCTAATGAGCCACATAACGAAACTCATCATCCGAATTCGGATGAATAGAGCGCGAAGCAGGATCAGGCCAGCGATAGGACAAGAACAGTACGGGTTCGTCAAAGACACCGGAACAAGGAACGCGAAATTTATGCTCAGAATGTTATCAGAAAGAGCAATACGAAGGACGTGTACCTGTGTTTTATAGACTAGTTAAAGGTGTTCAACAAAGTACGCCTCAAAGAACTGTTAGATCTGATCAGTAACCTTGACATATTCGGGAAAGATATTAAAATAATCAAAAATCTCTATTGGCAGGGTCCCAGCTAGCGTCCAGCTGGCAGACAAAAATAAAGCAGGTTTTAACTCAATACAAACCCTGCAAACTAACTGATGAATCAAGCTGGTATTTATACAGAAATACCTCCACTCATGTACCAGCAGCCAATCACAGCCCAAGCAATGGACTATCCCACTTTAGCACAATGAGATACTCCGTGGCACCATAAATAGCTCTCTTTCTCAAGGTTGAGTTATTATTCACTCAGCTTGCTCCACATCTGAGTGTTTATCTTGACCACTTGATTGTTATACACAGATATACAAAAAAATAGTATGGGATTTAAGACAAGACTGCATCTTCTCACCGGACGTATTCAACCTATACAGCGAGGCGTTTCAGAGAGAACTAGAAATTCTACCAGGATTCTTCATTAGCGGTAACAATGTCATCAATATAAGATGCACGTGGCAGTGATAGAAGACACGGAAAAGAAATTACAAAACCTCCTAAAGAAGTTAGTTGGAGAGAGAGAGAGAGAGAGAGAGAGAGAGAGAGAGAGAGAGTTAAGCATAAACTACCAGAAGATAAAATTCATGGTCATCAGTAAAAGGATGAGCCCAAAATGCAAATTACATGTCGGGGTTAATAAAATCAGGTAAGTGAATGAATGTATATAGGTAGAAAGTGTTCTAACAGAGGACGTAAGTGCAACACTAAGATCAGAGGACGTATTGTTAGCGGCAAAGACTCATTCCAGAAGCAGAATATTAAGGTAGAGGAAATTTTCGCTGGTAGCTAAGAAAAGAGTACTAAAATGTTACGTATTATTTGTTATCTTGAGTGCCAGAGAATGTTGGGCAATCAAAGATGAAGAAGAGACTCGAAGCAAAAGAAATGTGGTTACACAGAAGGATGCTAAGGATACCATAGGCTGGATAATTGAGCAACGACGAATGGAAACAAAGGGGGAGATTATAATTAAACTCCGAAAGTGGCAGTAAAAATTTTTGCGACACTTAATGAGGAAGAAGAGCTGGGAAAATCTGTTTTTCATTTGATGCTTAGAAGGTAAGAAGAACAAGGAAAATCAATGCGTGACATTCTTATTTGGCTTGAACAAGTGGATGGCAGAACGTTATATGGGAGAAATAACAAAAAGACAAAACGTATTAAGAGGTACAAGGTATAGAAGGAGGTGGAGGGCCGTGATCGCATAATTCCTGAAGAGACACTGCACATAAAAGACGACCCATAGGTCAACGAATTGCAGTAATTTAGATATGTGCCAAGTTAATCAACGAGAAAGTATGGTGGTTTTGTGAAATGAATGACATGAAGAGTCTTGAGATTTGTATTGAGTGAAAATTTGTGCACACACACACACACACACACATATATATATATATATATATATATATATATATATATATATATATATATATATATATATATATTATATAATGTGTGTGTGTAATTTTTCAGCTTTACGAATTAGTTCTTTATGTTACCGGTAAATTTGCAAAATTTCAAATTTATTTTGTGCTAGTGTTCTCACTAAACAAAATTACATTTCAAAATAGTCACAACACATTACTTTGCATCAACATATATCGTTCTGTCGTTAATATTTCGTTCTGTCGTGTAGTACGACGTCATATAACCGCATCAAGATTTTAAAACCTCTCATCTGCTATCCCCGACCCATTTCATTGCATACCAAACTTCTATGTAAACATCCGACGATATGTTATTTCATGGGGAATCTTTTTGCTGAAATGTTCATATAACCACGCTGATGATGCCTCATGTGAACCGAAACCTTAGATCCAAGAACAGCATAATAAAAAATATTTGTCTACTTTCTCCCAAATTTAAAGCCACACAGCGAAGCTTAGAACGGAAGATGATCAAACATAATAAACACACGTTGTCTGTTTTATTTAACAATATATTTGAATATATATATATATATATATATATATATATATATATTCAAACATTCAGTCTGTTGATGACTATATATATATATTGTCATCGACCGACAGAGTGTTTCGCTGTGTCACAGCTTATCAGTGTGACTAGACATCCAATTGCCTCAAGCCGGGAAGGAAAACCAACAGATTTGCCAGTCGGAGATTTCCCCACTGAGATATTCGTGGCCGGTTGAAAGAAAGGCAATTTTTCACTTTTTTTACTTTATATATATATATATATATATATATATATATATATATATATATATATATATATATATATGTATGTGTGTGTGTGTGTGTGTGTGTGTGTCACGTGCAGTCAGTAAATGAGTGAATCAGTCCCTCAACGCCCTTCTCTCCTGTACAACTCGAAGCAACATTTGTCCATTCATCATGTCTTTTTAGACTCGTTCTGACATCAATTTACACAACAAACTCAATTAGTTTTGTCGCTCACTGCATCCCTCTGTCTCTCTTGCATTCGGCATGTTGTCTATAGTAACTTGGCGCCTGGTATAATGATTACAATGAGCAGATCGTCCATTATAGAAAAACATCTTAATATATTTATATATATATATATATATATATATATATATATATATATATATATATATATATATATATATATATTTATATTTTTTTTCATCTCCTGGAACCATCTGGCCGTCGACAAGATGTGAATAAGCAGTAAGAACGAAACCAGTTTGTGTGATCGCTTCATTTCAGGCAAGGTTGTGTGCGCTTGTCAGGAAAAGCACCATCAACCTGCCGAACCGTGTTTGTGTGTGCGCGTTGAAGACTTGTCTATGATGATCAGTACCACTAGAGATATTGATTGGATAACTGACGTGATAGCGCTGTGACAATTTGGGATGTTGATCAAAGTACTTATTAAAGGAGGTGTGTAGCCATGAAGGTGAGATTTGCCGTCTCGTGAATTCATCACGCTATATGGAAAAGAAACCCAAGATTAACAATTAGCAGCGATCTCAAAATGAGATACAACTCGCGGACCCGTAAAGAATCACACGCACACACAAACACATCTGCGTGTTTGTACGCATGTTTTGGATATAGGCAAAAATGATTTTATTTAATTACTAAATTCATTAGAAGTTCGTCCGAAGAGGTTATACATTTTTGCTCGCTTATAATTTAATTGCAAAGTTCTATCTATCTATCTATCTAAATTTATTCATTATTATCTGTCTATTTAAATTTATTCATTATCTATCTATCTAAATGTATACATTATCTATCTATCGATCTAAAAGTATTTATTATTATCTATCTATGTATCTAAATGTATCAATTTATCAATATATCTAAATGTATTCATTATCTATCTCTCTATCTATCTAAATATATTCATTATTATCTATCTATCTGTCTGTCTAAATGTATACATTATCTATCTCTCTATCTAAATGTATTCATTATCTATCTATCTAAATGTATGTATTATTTATCTAACTAGCTAGCTAGCTAACTAGCTGAATGTATTCATTATCTATCTATCTAAATGTATCAATCTATATATCTATCTAAATGTATTCATTATCTATCTATCTATCTGGACGCTGCATTTTATATATATATATATATATATATATATATATATATATATATATATATATATATATATATATATATATATATCTTTAAAATAATACCAAATCAGTCAGGTTTCGATCCCAGCTTGAAGCAATCGGATGGCAAGGCACACTGATAAGCTGTGTTCCAGCGAAATAATCTGTCTGTGAAAGACTATATATATATATATATATATATATATATATATATATATGTGTGTGTGTGTGTGTGTGTGTGTGTTGCAGTTTAAGCCTTTCGTTGGGTATATGGAGATTGAAGAAACGCAAACGTTTGGGAAGGGATGTCTGCAAAACTGATTATGTAGCTATCCAAGCAGATACGGAGACATAAAATGCATTTAATTCCATGGATATCTATCTATCTATCTATCTATGAAGATGTATAGTTTTAAGGTGTGCTATATTTATGGGATAAGGTGCTCTATATCAGAGATAGAGCGTATGTAAGTATAAATATAGCAGTGAAACAGGTTGTCGTCTCCGAGTCTTCGCTGTAGGCACGGTGGCGTAATGGATAGCGGCTTGGATTGAGGAATCGCAGAGCCGTGTAGCGAATTCCAGTCGAATCCATTACATTCACTTACGTACTAATACCCTTGGGAAAGGTATGAATCTTCTTCCTCTCCCTCCAGCTATGGGCAAAATAGCAGGACAGACTGGGTTCTATAGCCTTGGATGGCAACTGGTCTAGGAGAAGGACAACCCTGAATTTAAAACCTGCGGAGGGTCGTTTGGGAACCTTGTGGCATTCGGTGCACCAGGTCTCTGTACTCGTCCCTTCAAAAAATGTGGATGGTCCTGCACGAGGCCTTCACCACTATAATCAAATCTCATGTGCCGGTGTCGGGCTGGAAACTGATTTGCTTGACTCTCATACGTCGAATCTCGACGAGAGAGTCGATTATTATTATATATATACTATTAATAATGATTATACAAATGGAGATTGTTATTTTACATCGTTCATTTTCTTCCCATCAGCACTAATTGTGCAATGTTTTTTTATATATATATATATATATATATATATATATATATATATATATATATATAAATATATATGTATATATAATTAATTATTATTATATATATATATATATATATATATATATATATATATATATATATATATATATATATATATATAAACACATGTGTCATTGAATATGTTTCGTCAACTTATATCCAATTAGGATCCTTTAAAATATCCAGTGAGACGCTTCTTAGTAAACTAATTAAAGGAAGAAATGAGAAATTTACCATGTTGGTACATTTTTATTTATTAAGAGTACTTTTTACATTAGCACAATGTCATCATCAGGTTGTTTTTTCTAAGACAAAAAATTTTGTATTCATCTTTTTTTTTAAATACCTAATTCTGTGTTCATCTTAATGTAAAATTAAAAAAGGTAAGATTATATACTGTACACTTAAAAGATCACGATGTAAACATCAGTGGAGGTAAATATGTCATGATTTATCCAAATGTTGTTTAAACAAATTTAAAATTATTAATTAAAACCTTCGCAATGAATGATTATTTATCAACATGATAATTATCTCTCTACCTTTTATAAGGTCTAGCAACATGGCCCGGCGTCTCCCGTGCTTGATTAAAAAATCGTACGACTCATACAGCAATCGCTATCACTTGACTTGAAATATTTTTGCCCTTCCTTGGCTTTAAAGGAGTGCCCTTTGCCTTGCTGATGTTGCTACATGCTTTACTTCTTGCCTATATCACACAGCGAATTTTTTCTAAGCCCTATACTAAATATTAAATCTCTTACGAAAAAGAACTTAACAAAATGAACACAAAACGATCAGCTTTAAAAAAGGACTCGTAACTGGAAAAACCGAATGAAAAAAGAATGTTAACAACAAATACTTTTTCCCACCCAATCCAGTTCTGCGGAATCAGAATCAACGTTGAGTTTAAGCAAGAGAATGAGCCAATCGGAGTAAAGTGCCATGCAGAT